ATATAAACACACGCAGGCAAGGAAGAAGTACCCACCCAACTGCGCACTGATGATGTCTCCTCGTATGGTGACGAAACGTTTGCAAGCCAATTGCCAAGCTCGGCGAACAGATCAACAGCCATCTGATCAACAACCAATAAACTCACCCGAGCTACCAAAATTTCACCATATTACCAGTTCAATAAATCCTGGGTCTCCCACAAGGGCCGACTGCCATTAGACCAACAAATCATGAAAATTTAGAGTCTGAGTATACCAAGGTCATCTCCATGCTCAAATTCACCGGCATTTTAATCCTGTCAACGGATGTGTAATCTGGAGAAAGGGGTCCGAAGCGTTTGTTCACTCTTTAGGTTTTATCAGCTAACGTAAATGGTTTTATTAAGGTTATGGTTGAACGCAACATAATGTTGGCTCTTAATACTCCATGTTATGTATGCTCTGCTCCTGACCTGGGAAGATCCCATGACAGGCCGGAATGTCGTCAGTTTTTGTGACTTTTCAACGTGGCAAGAAAATTATAGGTTTGGATAGCCACCTCAACGAATTTTAAAAGGAGTGAAGTTTTACTCAGCTTTGAAAGTAGTGACCTACACTACAGCTTTGTTTTCTCGACAGTGGCTCTTTTCTATTTGCTACGTGTTCGTTTGTGTAAGCTACAAGGATAAGCCCGTTTTGTACCCACAAAATGGGAAGTTTCACCTTGCTTCGATTCTGATCATCATCATCATCACCATCTTGAGATCAGAGTCAAGAATGTACTCATGACCACACGCAAAAATAACGTGGTTATCGCTATGGATCTGTCCAGTCGGTGTTGAGCAAATGTTTGTTAGTGTACTGGATTTGAATGTCAGGGACTGAAATTGACTAAAAATCGGTGCACCTGAGGCGTAGAATGGTTTGCTTTCAGATCATTTTCTCTTTGTACTAAGAAAAGGTTATGATATTTGTTGCTGTGAAGCCCTCAACTAAGTCGCCATTCGTCTACAAATACAAGACTGTTTTGGATACTTCAGATTTCAGAAGAAGCCATTCATAATATCTCCTTGCCATACAACCATTCATTATTCTGACACTCATGACTTTGCTTAAGCCATTTCTTTCTGTTGGGCCTCTCGTTATATAATCACCCGTTGAGATATCCACAATATGTCATCCAGATCTGGTTTTTTTGTTTGCGGATAACATATTTTTTCAGCGTACATTACAGTAAAGATCGCCTAACCATGATGATAGTTCCTTCTTTATGGAGAATCCTATTTATAATAACTCCATCAGTATAACACTCGACTAGCGGAATTGCTCCTCAGCAACTCTACACAACCATACATTCACTTTGCCTCTGAAACCGAAATCGACAGCGCCTTCAGCTTCTTGGACACTGAATTAGTCCGGGTGTTTTATTCGGAGATCTGCCTACACAAAACCAAAACGGATGGGATATTACACAAAATTCCATTGCTAATTCGCCCAAAGCCAACGGTTACCTAGATAGACTCAGAGCACAGAATACGTGTGGACGCCGTATCCAACCACTTGCACTAACTGTTGCAGATAAGCCTAGTTACTTGGATCTACTTTACAAACGACATCTGTTGGCATGCATATTCAGTCACAGATTGTTGTAGTTTGGCGCAATATGTTCGGTGGACGATAAGGCAACTCGCTAAGAGAACACGTGTGCATCTCTTGCTGGAACATCATTAGACCAAGTGGTTCAACCGAAAGCTTGATCGCACTACACATTTGACATCGGCCACGAGATCAATAAAAACGAGAAGTTTCGCGTTATCTACCGAGCATCTAATAGACTATCGGTGTTGATCCAAAGGTGCGAATCGACTAAAGTCGAGGAAAGGCGATTATGAATTCCGGGTACAATGCTGTCAAAAACGATTCGGTCAAGCAGTGAGTGTATCTTGGTCATATGACACGAATTTCTTGACCCAGTTGCTCAGTGACTCTTTGAGCCACCTCACAGGGTCTATTTAAATACCATAAGGGTTTTCTTGGTAAACAATCGTCCGTTTTCTCGCATTTTCTAATTTGTTTTGTTAGCTCTGACTGTTTACTGTATTATTTACTCATATTTTAACCACTGGATGTATACTGACCTGGCTAGATCGGACCTGACGAGGTCCCAAAAACATCAATGTTCAACACTATGTTCTTACTTGATAATGCCTTCTGATGTATGACCTATTGTATGACCACGAAATGACTTGATAGCACAGTGGCGGTGAATTTTGGCGAGGTAACATCCTGGCGTGATCATGCGATATCATCGGAGGAAAAGACAGACTAGATCCATAATCTTTGCTTCCTCATTAGTAGTGCACTCGAAATTTGATCTTCTTTATTTTCATCGTCGGTGGAAATCGCCCATTTTGCATATCTCACGGAACTCCAAATAGTGTAGAACTACGATCTTTGAGCTATTGGTTTGAAAACTTGACCGTCTGGCTACAAGCGGCTGATCAATAAAGTGGTTGATTTGCCCTTTAGACAGGATGTAACGTCACCATCCGTTCAAATAAGAATCCACCTCACGGGCTGCTGTTTTAACTTGCCGTACGAATGACGAGTTGTCAGACATAAGTTTCGCCCATCAGGTGAATTCTTTCATCCTCTGAGCTATTTGCAAAAGGTTGGCAGTGGGATTTTTCATCCATTCAATTGTTTTTCGTGCCATTCTGTGCGCAGTATAATGTGTACTGCGGATGATTCCCAATAAGGATGGAACAGCACACCTGATCGTAAAAATGAGAATGTATATTCAAAGTCTAATCACAGAATCCCTGAAGGTTACAAAAAAGGCACCATTAAGAACATCAACTAGACAGAATGTTTTCAGAGGAGGATTTCCACTTTGCGGCCGACTAAATATCAAAGAAACATCATAAAATACCGTGTTTCATAAAGCAGAAGTTGTATACATGAGGAGATTTCAGAGGCTTTTTAAGCGAATTACTTTTTTGTCTATTTGATAACAAAATGTTGACTATGTGCTCCGTCAGCCATTTTCCCGTTAAACGTAGTCCTCGCGATGTCAAAATCACCTGTTACCGATTACTTCGAAGCAGCGGAATTCATAGTTCGGGTTGAGATGTACTGTCAGAGGGTTACTGTAGTACATACGGAGACCACTTGCGACCACTGTTCCCAGCGATTACCTGACTTTACTACTGTTTTTGGTTTAATATATATGAATATGTGGTGCCGTGAAATGTGTAGGTTTACCCGGGATATCTGCAACTGGATTGTGGGATGGCCCCTTGACGTGAGCGAACTAAAAAAACTATACACTGGCTGGAAGGCTATCTACTGGTTTTCGTACATCTTTTGCTTGGTTACCCAAACAACTAATCTCTCAGCGGCTTCACCGATTTTTCCACGCGTCAAGGGGACTTTACTGTGATCTCGGTGCTCAATTATATGTGAGCTGCCACATCTCATTCAAGGACCCACCGGTTTGCCAAAAGAATCTAACACACAATTTCGATTTTAGTTTCCATTTTATTCCTTCAATTTCAGAAGCGATTCACTTGAATTTCTGATTAAATGTCTACTTTCCATGTGCATGTCTACATTACGTAGGATGGCGTCCGTTTTTAAGTGAAGTCCTGTACATGTTATACACGATATGGTGGACAGTTTCCGACGGTTACTTAGGTTAAATGTTACTCTCACTATATTTGTCAAGATATTCCACCGGCCTCAAGTATCAACAAATAAGGTGATTCAGATAGGGCTGCGAAGCGGTGATGCGAGATTACCACTTTTGCTTCCGAATGAAAGTGCGTGCTGTCAGATCTATTCAAGCAACCAATTCTATAAGCGAATGTGCTCTCGTGAGGAATACTAACTAGCACAACAAACAGCTTAGAAAACGTCAAACATGTAAGCGTTTTTTACCTGGATCTGTTTCCCGATTGGTCAGTTGGTTCAGACTGTCAACCAACCCGTGTGCGGGATACGGGTAGAAAATTGGCCGTGTTCGATCTCTCGCATTGATGTTTCAGTCGGACATTTAGTAGTTGCGGCATTCAGGTCTGTGCACAGATGCACACAAAGGATGAATCAGCTCATTGGGCCTTACGCTTTGAGATTTTGTGCTAAAATGTTGTGGCCAATAGGATGAGCATATTGTTACACAAGCTGTGGCCATTAACCATGGATAAAATTGGCCCGCAAAAGGAATTACAAAACTGTCTCACTTACACATCTGATTCAGGAAGTGAATTTGAGCGTACAGTTGCTAGCGCGGCCATCAAGTCCGAGGAAACTGTTAGCCCGGAGATGGCGCGGCATAGTGCAAAGTCTTTGAAAACCAAAGCAACGAAATGGATCGCTACTCACGTGCCAGGGCGCACACACCATCATAATCACGAACACAGTGATAGTGGAAGTACACCATGGGATACCGCGCATTGGAGTGAACATGCTAATTATACGTTCCATTTAACTACAAGCGACCTCATCGATATGCGCAAAGGATCGAGTAGAGCATATCTGAATGTGGGTGGTGAACATCATGAAATAATGTGGAGGACATTATGTAATTACCCGAATTCTAGATTAGGGAGATTAAGCTTATCCATGGATCCCTTGGAAATCACGCAGCTTTGTGACGATTATTCACCACAAAAAAATGAGTTCTACTTCGACCATTCGGCGCGATCTTTTAGCTCCATCCTGGATTTATATCGTACCGGACATTTGCATATTCTTGACGAGGTATGTGTAATGGCATTCATCGAGGATCTGAATTACTGGGGCCTCAACGAGTGTCTACTTGATGCCTGCTGTCTGACGCGATTTGTCCAGCGCAAAGATCGCATGGAGGAGGATATCAAAAAGACATCTAGTGCGGGCTTGCCAAGCGATGATTCGGAACAGTTTGGACAAGGAAAATGCGCCGAATTTCAGCGGCGATTGTGGGAGGTAGTGGAGAAACCGCAGACGTCTACTATGGCCAGAGTAAGTCAGTAGGATAGCTATCAAATAGGATTATCCAATGTGCAGAAACCTTTCATGTTGTTTTATTAAACAACATACTTCGGGTAGTAACAAATTATAGGTCGCAAAATATCCAATATGCACGAGGGTGTGAGCGTTTTTGTAGGAGGAATAGTCACGTCCGATTTGTTGAACCACGTAGTATATAGTATCTGTAGTATATAGTATATGTAATGATATAGTAGCAGTAGTATAGTATGTAGCATGTCGCAAGCATGCATGTAGCTAAAATATTTCTGCCACTTCTGGACTAAACTGGTTTTTGGTTAATGATAATAAAAACATTTGGTAATCCCGCTACTCACGCGATATGAATGCCGTATGAAGATCAAATTTTCGTGCCAACCAAGTGCATCAGAAACGTATAGCTGACATTTTGTTAACGGACTTGAAGGCCTTTGAACGGATTTATTTGTTCTGTGTGCATGAGGAACTCGCAGCTACATCGGTAGTACGGCGACGCTAGTTGATATTTTGATCCGCCACATGAAAATGTGGTATGCCGCATTATAACATAGTCAACGTGCAAATGGTGTATAAAAAGAATGGGTGGGCCACCGTGTCACTGGAACAATAAGTGTGGAAAATGTACTAACCTGTGAGTTACGATTACGTACGGGTAAGATTGAGTGACTTAGAGGCTCATTGACATGAAGAATACTTGAATTCACCATGCCTTTATTTTGTGGGGTCTGCGTGGCCCAGCAATAAAACACTTATGCTGGAAAGTTTACCTTTTTCCAATTTGGATTGTTGACGCTCAAAGAGATGTTGCTCAAACATCATTACATAGACGTAAAGTTGTACAATTTCCTTTCTTTTCACCGCTGGCTCATTTGCACCCTAACCCTTTATCTGTTTAGTGCACGTATTTTTTAAGGCTGCATATGCACACAAATTTTTTTTACCGCATGGTGAGCTCGGAACTATTCAAAAAAAGAAAATGCCGACTGAAACTGATGCTCCCATATTCGTTATTTTTGGTCCTTTCGTATGGACTCTTTTTGATGGTTACTAAGTATAGCGTTCCGTTAAGAAGAAAGTCAACCCAAAATAGCTAACAATGGTCTGAGAAGAGTTTGACATTTTAACAAAACATTTCGGCTACTCAGGTCTCTGACAACTAAAACTAGGTCATGTTTTTGTCTCAGAGGGGCTTTCACCCGGATATCTAATTGCCCTAATCTTCGTCCGGTAGAAATTTCATATAATATATACCACAGAAATTATGCAAAGTTTGTGGGCTGAAAAACCGATTAAAGATGCTCGGTAAGAAAAAGCGTGGACCATCAGTTAAGAAGATGCAACCCACAGTTTTGTTGAAATGGTACTGAAGTGGTTTTGAATCTGAAGGTAAAACAACAGCAACGAAATCTGCGACGATATGTCAAAATGGTGTGTGCCTATGTTTTTGTCGCAGTTGTTTCACCATTAACGATTTAACACCAGCTGCTCGGAATAATGTCCCCGGAAATTTATGACTGCTGTTTGATCTCTGGCCTACATCTAGTATTAGAACCCTGGTGAAATACTTGATAGACGCTAGTGTTTTGTAGCGGGTTGCAGTTGCTTGATCAAAACCCCACACGCCTGGAATATGCGTGTTTGTTATGGTGGATGTTGAATGTAGGAAAGTTAAATCCGCTTTTTCAGATGACTAAATTAGCCTTGAAGGACTGCGTGATACGAAAATAAACACAATAATCACGAAATTTAGTGTAAAATGAGTAAAAAGATACGAAAATAGACAAAATTTTCTGATAAGATGGTAGAAAACAGGTATGGAGTTCTCACTGTCACCTTGATATTGTGTTGATTTTATCGGATGTTTTACGAAAGTAAGCTTATGCAAGGTAGATGATGAAAGTGACCTTAGAGAATATGTGCTTTGTTGTCATCTGTGCACTGTTGACCTAAATGAGTTGACATGGAACGGTCAACACTGGCTTTATTTTTGATTCTGTTAGCAAGGATAATTTATGACCGTTGGATATCACAATGATGGCCTGTTCTGTAAATAACTGATGAGTTTTCGTCCATTTGGTCGGTTCGGCAGTTCCATTTGAGCGATGTCTGAACTTTGAAGTCTAACGAAGAAATTATATTTGCCCATTGAGAATGACTGCAGGGACAGATATCAATGAGCCGTAAAAAAACAAATAACGTTTGCTTGGGAGTAAGCCGATTACTCACTGTAGGTTCCGGTGTTCTTACACTATCTTTGCTAATAAAATCAAAGGTGAAAATGTGCATTTCTGTTTTTGAGATAAGTAACATCATTCGACATATCTAAATCGTGTACGTCTGTGGACACTTAGATCAAAAGACCTGCAAACCCAGCACTATTCAACAAGCAAACAAGGCCAAACTCAACTTGGAAATTCTGTTCCTCCTTCTGCGTTTGCGGCCTGTTTTCATTAAATTCAATTAGCAAAAAAGCGGTAACCGCTACTTTTATTCGAAATTATCGTCATTCTATCCTGTAGCTTTACCATGAGCACCAACTGAAAGCACATCCATCTCCTAAGTTAATCTTTTATGTGGTCTACTCTTGTGATCGCTTCGTTCCAATTTCCTTCAAGAAATGTGTCTCTCGCAGGAAGCCACATGTTGCCTACACTGCTGTTTACTGTAAATCAGCCTATTCGTGTTTAGGCTCGCAGTGGGCCAGCTTTCCAAAATCTTACGCACAATCAGAAATACATTTTAGACGCAGTCGGAATTTAAGGCGTTAGCTCGTTTTTCAACTCCGCTCAGGACTACCTCATGCATCAACTCACCTGTTCATAAAATTGCATCCAACCTAGATGACGTAAACAGGTTCTATGAATTTCGGTTTGTGGCACCGGCTCATTTCACCCGTGAGTAGGATTAGCATGATTTTTTTCAAACACCACGATTCAGAAGAGAACAGAACTGAACTCTTATGTTAATCGGATGTGACGTTAATGACTGAAGTTTTAGTGTTGGTGGTGATCTAGTGTCGCCTACGATACGTTTCTGAACTTGTGTATATATCGGAGTCAGTTGAGTGGTATTAAATTTCAAAGGGACACTTACTTAATGGCCTTGATAGCTGTGTATTCTTCTGAAGTATTTTTGGATAATCAAACATACCGTTTTGGTTTGTCCCTTCTCTTATCCAGGCGTTTAAGATCGTAAGAAATGGAGTAGGGTCAATGTGAATGACTGATTAGTCTGATTTGATTGTCATGTGTCTGGAATCACATGTGATTTACAACGATTTGGTGATGATATTCGAAATATGAGGTCAAAGTTTCCATGTGATGTGAATTAATAACCTGTAGAACACCTCTCGGTAAAGTAGTTTGGGTTCTTCGCTTCTTCCCATGACTTTGTGGATGGAACTACAAAAAATGCGTGCGGTATTTTGTGTGAAATCACATATGTTAAGTTACACATCACTGCTTGCGTAATGGCAAAAGAGTAATCAAATTTTTCGGCACCCAGCGGACAATCTAAAAAACCCAGTGCTTGGTTTTTAAATCACACTCCTCAAAATCAAGTCAACGATGTTATTTACCGAGCGACATTATTCCATACCAAGGCATTGTTCACATGCATTTTGCGGGGGAATATTTCGTTACCTAGTTTCCTTTCGCGAGAAGAAAAAGACCGCTTATCTGAAATCCATAAGTTTTTTCGGCCTTGTGCTTAGTGTGTCTTGGCATCTAGTATTTCAGTCCTGTTGTATGACTTGGAACGCTCGACACCCAGTCGAATGCATTAGATCATCTAAAAGGGGTTGTGAACTGGACATATATGGTCTCCCAGTTTCGAAGCTTAAACCCTCTGTACGTGAAGTCACCGGTTTTGTAGACTTAAATTTTTGCAAAAAGCAGTTATGAGCACCTTACGCAATCAAAAAAACAAAAATTGGAAGATCATGTTAGGCCATGAAATTCTCAAACGGCGCGCTTTGAATGGCAGACGAAATGTAAAGCTTAAGCGAGTTATTCTCGAAAAAAATTGTCAGCACTGGATCGCATGGCAGCGCCGCTCCTTTGTCCAATGTTAGTCAGCGAATAAAATTTATCACAAGCCCTGAAATCATCATCGGGATTTTCTGGCTGATTTCAATCAAATCGTATTGTTTTTCTTTCTTAACAATTCGTGGCAAAAGAAATTTGGATAATGAGTGGATTGGACATGATTAGTTCTGGGGAAGAAATCCCCCCTATAAAAGTTTGTTTTTAAATGCAGAAACAAAACAGGACCAAAGAAATGCGGCTTTATCGGTGACAATCTTTTTAAGCAACCCAAAATATCTTAGTGGTAATGTCTTTATAAGCCAATAAATTGTACAAATTCCACATAATATCATAGCCAAAAGACAACGAAAATTATGGGAAGTGGAACATCATCCTTTTCTTGAGGCTGAACGTTGTGGAGTACAAACCGTGTTTAGTCAAAGACCCCATTTATTCACAAACCCACGGTTAAGTGATCCAACGGGATAAAAGGAACTGTAGTGACGAGTACAGAAATCTACGGAAGGACGCATAAGAACGGCTTGGAAATTTGAATTTTTCCACACCATTAGCGAAATACACTCATTTACAAACCAATTTGATTTTACAGGAGGCTCACCTGGAAACCAGCTGAATCTCTCGTTTACGATGTTTTCAAGTAACTGAATGTGCTGCACCAAGCCGCCTCATGTTTCATTTGGTACGATATTCAAGATATCGCAATATATTGCAGACGTACCACACTACACATAAAAACATCATAAACGAGAGATTCAGCTGGATTCTGGGTGAGTCACCGGCAAAGCCAAGTTGGATTGTAAAGAGCGTATTTTGCTAAGTTCGTGAGATTTGGGTTCAAGAGGAACATAAGGTTGACGGAAACTCGGAGACTGCGCCTACCTGATGGGCCAAAAGTATGGCAAAAGCGGTTGGCTGTTGAAGACTAGTGTATTACGTTATCCACACCAT